TCTTTTTTTAAAAAATATTATATTCATAAAATTATTTTAAAATATAATTTACTGATTTGTTTTACAGAAATATCAATAATTTTTTATATTATTTGAGTATGAAATAAGAAATGGCTTAGAAACATAATACTTTTATTTTAAAATTTAAAAAAAAAAAACAAATCCTAAAATATAATTATCAGACACATTTTCTTTCTCTAATATTTGTTATTATCATAATTATTTAAATAAGTAAATTATTTATTTTTACTCAATTTATTAAGATTAATATTTAATTATTGTAATTACTATAACTTCATAAAAAATATTTAATTTATCTTTAGTAAAACTTTGTATAATTGTATAAAAAATTATTACTAAAATAAGTTCATGAAATTTAAAACTTAAAACTGTCATAATTTGTTTTAATATTTAATTATAAAATGATAAATAATGTAGGAATTAAAATTTTTTAAAAAAAAACTCCCGCAAGCAACAGTCGCTTCAAGACAGCTGCGACCTAAAGAGATTACAGCCACGATTTTCTCGACAGGAAAAATCATTCACATTCTCTGCTTATCGAACCCAATATTCTTTTGTCGTATTTCAAACTGTAATATATGTGTATAAAATAATTTAAATTCATTTAACTTTGACTAAAAACGAGTGGCTACTACCTGTATAAATTTATTCAGCTTTAATTTCATACCGAGCCAGAAGAGAAACGGTCTTGAGGGCTGAAATGACAGCAAGAAAGATCAAACAATCAAGAAAATGACATCTGCAAATTGCAATTGAAACAATGGATCCCTCCTTCCTGCTTCGTTTTTGAACTGGGTTTTCTGTAGATAAAAAGGGAAGCTTATTCACAATACAATCTCATTAAATCATTCTTTGGTGAGATTGTCGAGAAATTCAAGATAAGGGAGGATGAAGTTTGGAAAGGAGTTCACTGCACAGATGGTGCAGGAATGGCGAGAGGCATACATGGATTACAAGAGTTTGAAGAAACTCCTCAAAGATGTTTTGCGTTTTAGACGGCAAAATGCGCCGTCTCCAACGGCGGCAGTGAGCCCAAAAAGCGGATTGAAGAGAAGGGTTTCGTTGTACAGAGCGTTTAGTGGATTAACCTGCCGGTACATGGGGTCTCCGGTGAGGGAGGAAGAAGAAGTAATCCTGGTAAATGACGTGCAAGACGAAGATGGGTCGTCGGCAGGACATTACCAGACTATGTTTCTCATGTCATCTGAGGAAGGAGGAGAGTATGAGCTTCTCTTCTTTAAGCGGCTAGATGATGAGTTCAATAAGGTGTTGAGGTTCTACAGCAAGAAAGTGGAGGAAGTGATTGTGGAAGCTGATGAGTTGACTAAGCAAATGAATGCTTTGATTGCTCTTCGGATTAAGCTTCATAATCCCATTTTGGGAGGGGATCCTTTGGTAGATCTTGCAGCCTCTATTGGAGTTCCTGAAGCTTCACCCTCAAGTTCTCCCACCATCAATAGCAGAAAACCAAGTAAGAGATTATCTGGGTTTTCAGTTTGAAAGAAAATGTATATAAGTGGAATTAAGTTAGAATCCTATAATGCTTATCTGTTCATATTTTGTAGGAGGACAAGTAATGGATTCAATTCAAGAAGTTGAAATGAGCTGTGAAGTAAATTCAGAATCAGATGAAGGAAAGAAATCAAATAATGAAAGGAACTCTATAGATCAAAAGAAAGATAGTGAGGTCAAGGATATCACTCAGGGATTTAGACCACCATCATTGCAGGTCCTGGATCATGTAAAGATCAATATTGAGCCTGAAACTCCAATCTCAACATTAAAAACTTTGCTTTTGTTTTTAAAATCAAACAATTCGTTCAACAAGAAGGAGCTTAAGAAAGCAGAGGAGTTGATGTCAGAGGCGTTTGTGGAGTTTTACCAAAAGCTTCGGCTTTTGAAGAGCTACTGGTATAACATCCATTTCTTATTCTTGCCTACTAGCACTAGCAATGATATGAAGTTCTCTGTTCTTGAAATTCAAAATGGTTGACCATATCCCTTATTATTTAACAGTTTCTTGAATCAATTAGCCTTCTCCAAGATCATGAAGAAGTATGACAAGGTCTGTCTACTAATTATCTCACAATCAACTTGAATTGTAATATTTGTTTCGCTCAATTCAACTAACTTATTTTGGTGCAGATCACTTCGCGGAATGCGTCAAAAGCTTACATGCGGACAGTGGATAATTCTTATCTTGGCAGCTCTGATGAGGTGAAATAACACTAACAAGAATCTTATTGTATATTTAGAAATGATCGTTTCTCACTGAATTTGCCTTTCACATCTCCCAGGTTGCTAAGCTTATGTTAAAGGTAGAGTGTACCTACATCAAGCACTTTGCAAATGGAAATCACAGAAAAGGAATGAAAACTCTGAGGCCAAAAGCTAAGAGGGACAAGCATAGGATTACGTATATCCTGGGTAAGACTCTTGTTGCGAAAATGATCTTTCTCATGCTTGGTTTGTAGTGATTAAATTGAAAAAAAATTATCTTTGATGTTATGCACGTATCCTCTTGTAGGGCTCTTCACTGGCTGCACAATTGCACTGATTGTGACCGTGGGTGTGCTTATACATGCAAGAGATCTCTTATACCATGAAAAGAGAAATGCATACATGGAAAATATATTCCCACTTTACAGGTAAGTTGTAGTTTCTTGAGTAGAATTAATTCCATATGTGGAGTTTGAAGCATCTTAACTTAACAATATGACAAACTTACTGCATAATCTTGCAGTTTGTTTGGGTTTATTGCGCTGCATTTGCTGATGTATGCTGGAAACATATACTTCTGGAAGCGTTATCGGATCAATTACTCATTTATCTTCGGCTTCAAGCAAAGCAATGAATTATGTTATAGAGAGGTACTCCTGCTCGGTTCAGTCTTGCTGTACTCACATTTGCTGGGGTCATATCAAATTTAGAATGGAGATCGACAAAAGAACACAAAGCTATAAAGCCATAACTGACTAGTTCCGTGGCCTTGCTCACTGTAAGT